AACATTATTTAAAAATAAATCTCTAAAATTTAAATTTAAATTAAAGTTTTACTTGTTTGTGAATATTTTACACATTTTTTTTTGTTGTATCATGTTTAAAAATGTAAATTTATTAATTTTAATTAATTTTAATTAGTATTTTATATATTTTGAGATAATAATAATAATAGTAATAATAATAACAACACTTACACAACCCAGCAGTCCTGAAAGCCTTTAGTTTCTTAATTTTACAGTATGATTTTGCTTTCAATTGAGTACGTACTAAAAATTTTTCTGGTAACTGGGTGGATCATAATTGATTTCTTGAAATATATTTTTACAGTAGTGGAGTAGATAATGGGGTAACTTTTCTCCCACTTATAAACCAGATATTTGCTTGGATGTACTTAAGCTCAACCCAAAGTTGGCCGCAATCGACCGGTGGAGATGTCCTATTTTTATGATGTCACGTCAACCCAATGCATTCTTGAGTGGATGCAGGCTTCGGTTTTGGCAAAGATGGATTTACGGTTGTAAGTATGGATTCCCTTATAATTTTATATTTTAATCTTTAAATTTTTTTTTATATTTATTGATTTAATCGATCTATTTGCGGTATATGTATTGAAGGGTTAAAGATAGAGCTACCCACAGCTTCTTCTGGTGAACTACGAATTCCTGTTACGACTACGACTTCAGAGAAAAAAACATTGAAATACAAGGTATTTGAATCTATCCAAGTTGATTACACTATAACATGATATCATTACCAAAAAAAAAATTTAAGTTAGATCTACTATTAATAAGTATTATATTATAGGATATCTTCAAAATTTTAAGTTTTGAGCCACCACTTAAGAAAATTAAAATCTTTGAATACACTAATGTAACAGAAAAGTGTGTTCTTAAGAGTTTTTGACGCGGGATTAGGCTTTGTTTATGAGTACTGGATTATAATTATATTGTATGTTTTATAATGTTTTAATATTTTAAAATTATATAAAATATATTTAATATTTATTTTAATTAACATTTTATTTATTTTTAGAATAGTAAAATACAAAAAAAAAAATCAAAAACTAAAGTATCCAGAAACAATCTCAAACAAAATCTTAACCTTCAAATACACAAAAATTAGTAAGAGACTCTTACCATCTAATTACTTATAATTGTTGTTTTAAGTCAGCATGTACATAATAGTATATATAATGGAAGTTTTCTTTTAGTATTTTCTTTAAAAAAAATAAAAATAAAATTTTAATCCATTAAAACTCTATTAAATATTAATGTTCTGTTATAAAAGAGAGCTATTTCTGTAGGCAAAGACAACTCTTTTTTTTTTTCTTAATTTTTTTTCTTTTTAATTATGTTAGGTAGTGTAACGTTTCACTTGTCCAGTCATACTTCTTGGGCGGTGCAACTTTTCATTTTATTGGTAATTTGTTTTATTATTATTTTTAATTTAAATTTTTTAAATTGAATTGAATAAATTAATAGTGGTATACAATTTTTAAGAAAATTTTATTTAATATATATACTGGATAAAAAGTGATTTATTAGATATTTTATTTAAGAGTTAAATATTTAAAATTATGTAAATTTATATAAAATAATATCAATTATGTTAATGTACTACTAAAATAAAATTTTGAATTATTCTCCTTTATACATGCTCTAGCAGAGATTTACTCTTGAAGTATTTGGTCGACGTGTTAAATTGAGCTTAATGCTCCAAAATTTCTCTGGTAACCCACCCTCAGCTATGAAACTTATTTTTTACGTATTTTAGCATTTATATTTTTATTATTTTATTTTTATGCCTTTCATCCTATATGTTAATTGATTCTTGATATACTTAGGAATCAAACAAATTTATGATTTGAAGTTGATGCATTTCTATAGCCTTGAGATTCTTCGATGTACGTGTAATCATTTTTCAACATTAAAAGTTCTATCTCTGAGGAGTTGTGGAGTGGTTGACGCGATGTTTGAAGCTACCAAGCAGGGCATTGTTGAATTCGTCGTTGAGCTACTGAAAATAACCCAACCACTCATTGTCACTGACATTGATGACAGACACGTTTTCATGATAGCAATCCAATATCGTCAAGAAAACATTTTCAACCTCCTGTATGGCATTAATGAGGAATGGAGAGCGCGTTTTCTTAATTGGACAGATAGAAACTGGAATAATATGTTACACGTGGCAGGGGAGATAGCTCCTCCCTCTCAACTTGTCCGAATCTCTAGCACTGCATTGCAGTTGCAAAGAGAATTACAATGGTTTAAGGTTTTCATCTTATTTATCTACTCAATTATAGCATTTTAAAATTATTATTGTTAAATATTTTAATTTATTTTTAGACATGAGGTGTGTTTTGATTCTCTCAAAAGTTTATGTATAAAATAACTTATTTATTTATTTAAAAAATAAATCCTAATTTGTTGTTCTAAAAATTAATGTGTACTTTTGTTAACCGAATGCAGGAGGTGGAAAGAATTGTTCCAGAATGGTGCAAAGAATCTAAAAATAGTAATGGTGAACCTGAAACCCCTTATGAAGTATTTTCAAATAGCCATCGGAATTTAGTGGAAGAGGGGGGAAAATGGATGAGGGACATGGCAAATTCTTTTATTATTATAGGTACTCTCGTTGTCACGATCACGTTTGCTGCAGCCTTTACTATTCCAGGTGGCAATGCTCAGGATGGGTCTCCCAATTTTTTACGGAAAAGATTATTTATGATATTTATAATATCTGATGCGATTTCCTTCTTTACTGCATCAACTTCAGTCTTAATGTTTTTGGGAATCCTTGCACGGCGCTTCGCCCCGGAAGATTATCTCGAGTCCATACCCAAGAAGTTGAACATGCTCCTCTCCACTATTCTTATTTCTATTGCAGCAATGACGGTTAGCTTTTCTGCTGCTCTTTTGATTATGATACAACATCGACCGTGGGCAATCATTCCCATAATTATAATGGCTAGCATTCCAGTTACATTTTTTGTATTGTTGCAGTTTCCCCTCCTTGTTGAAATGTTTTCTTTGACATATGCTACGGGAATATCTTTTAACAGAAAAATGAAGCCTTGGCTGTATACATAGTGGAGACCAAGTTGATTGATCTTTTTGGAACACGAGTAGATTCCCCTTCAAGTTGAAATTCTTTAGCTTGTTCTTTGGTTATGTTTGTTGGAACTTCTAATTTCCCTGTTCTATTTGGTTGGATTATCAGATTTTTTGCTTTTAATTATGCGAATGTGGTTTATGTACCTTCTCATTGTGTAAAAACAATGTTAAGCATACATGTTATGTTATATTTTCAGATATTTTGCTTTCTTAAATATATATGTGATTGATGGCTTGAAAATGAAAAAAATGGGAGGTCATTTATAAGGTGGGTTTAATGTATAAAAAAATAGGTAAAAAATATTTAAAATCTCGTCATGTCAAAAATAAAATTTAACTCTTTTAAAAAAATATGAGTTTTTTTAATCATTTCTATCGTCATAAAAAGATGATTTTTTTGTAATAAATTATTAGTTTTTCTTTTCATTAACATCATTAAAAAAAATTGAATTATACATTAGGGACCTAATTGTCATAATCCAAGTTTTTACCTAAATTTTTGTCTCATTTTTTGCCCCCAAAAATTAGTTATAAACTCAACGAATATTTGGCTAATTCAAACAATTTCAAAATATCTTGGTTTCTACTCCAAAAATTAATCCCTCAATACTTTTCAAGTTTAAAACAAAAAAAAAAAAAATTGTACATTTTAAGCTTTCATTTAATGTGGGGGATTAATGCGTAAATTTTCCAAAAAGAAATCGAGATTTATTTGAATTTAATGACAATATGGACTCAATTGAAAATATAAATATAAGTTACAAGTAAAGCTTTTATTATTTGTTTTATATATGTTTGATGGACACGCATCTAAATTTTGAAAGGATACTTCGAAGAATAAACTAAACTGCTCACATATCAATCTCATCGGGTCTTATTTTTGAAACTAATTATAAATTAAGCCCCAAACAAAAACCTCAATTCTGTTTAATCAAGGCTTCTATTCTACTCAATTTGCTGGAAGGGCCGAAATGTTATTATCACGCTAAGTCTAACTCAGCGATAAAGATCAGATCCTTCTTACTTGAAACTTTAAAGGTTAAAATTTCAATTTAGTACCTGTATTTTAAAAAAAGGATTTTTTCTTAGTTTTTAAAGTTTACCTTTTCAGCTCTTTTACCCTGTGATGATAGGACATTATTATTTATTAAGTATATAATTTTTTTTATTTTTTTATTTTAAA